GCCCTCGGCCCTTGGCGGCGGCCGCGTCCAGGCCGCGGCGTCTCGCGGGGCGGGCTGCAGCCCGAGCCGCGGCTCTCCAGTCCCCGGCCTCCAGAGGCTGGCGGGGCGGGGCCGAGCCGCTCCCGTACGGCTCGCCAGAACCCGGGTTCATTCATTTGCGCGAGCCCGGGGCGGCCACGGCTCGGGGCGGTAACGGCGATCGCGCGCCGTCTCTGCCCTTCGGAGCCGGTTCAGTCCCCACAGTAGCTGAAGCCGTCCAGCCATCGATGGGGAGGCGGGCGCACGGGGAGGTTAGAGGCCTAGCTTTGAGTTCAGGCCATCTGATCCAGAGATCTTCACCGCAGGGAACAAGGAGCCCTTCGGGAAAAAGCCTTAAAGGGTGGGAACGCGGGACGATGGTTGCACGGACGGCTTCAAGGCAGGCTTGCTTGGAAGTCGGAGATGTCACCCAGCGGGAGCTGGTGAAGAGGGACGCCGCCGCGTAACCCCCAAACGTTGCTGCTACTCTTTTTCAAATCATTATTCAGGGCTTTGTCTCTACTGGCACTGCCTGTGACCGGGTTGAGGTCTGGGCTGTCTGACCTTGGGTGGGTCACACAGTCCAAGTCAGCCTCCTTCTGTCCTGTATAATGGCATCTACGACAGGGCCACCTCTTCAAGGGGCTGCTGCAAGAAGCAGAAGAGAGAGATTAGCCAGGTTTGGTGGCACACACCTGTCATACCTGACTCAGGAGGCTGACACAGGAGGACTGTTTGAAGTTCCAGGTCAGCCTGGGCTACATACTGAGACTCTGTCTTCAAAAAAAAAAAAAAAAAAAGGAAGGGATCTTACAAGGACCTAGTTCATTGCCACTAGGTGGAGATTGTTGTTCCCATCACTTGTCCCAAGAGAGCTTTGAGTGTCCTTTCTGTAGTTAGAGATGGAAAAAGAACGGTCCCCTCCTTCCTAATCTCCATTCACTAGGTTCTGCTTCTGCTCTTCTAATGCTATCATCGTGTTTCATGTGGTGGCTCTGCTGCCCCCCAGCAGCCTCCAGAAGCAGCACTGCTTTGTCATAGTCTGTGTCAACACGTTCCCAGGAAATGGGCTCAGGCAGGCCCACTCTCAGGAGCTGCAGAGGGCAGTGACAGAGCCCCCTGGAGTAGCAGCCAGCCCACCTCTAAAGTGACAGCCAGGGCTGTGATTCCTGGATTTGGCAAGAGAAGGCCAGGTTATGCTCAGCGTGTCTTTCTCTTGCTGCAGCGCAGAGAGGCATGGCAGTAAGGCGAATCACACAGGAAACTTTGGATGCTGTATTGCAAGAGAAAGCAAAAAGATTTCATGCAGATCCTAGTGGGGAGGCCATAGGTGAAACAGTTCTGTTTCAAGCGCAAGGTAAGTGGGAATGGATTTGGAAGAGAGCGAGTACCTAGGGCTAGGGCAAGATTTTAGACCCTGGGCAGATATGCAATTGTGGGGATCCTTGTGAGCTCTGTGTTCTGCTCATCTTCCTTTGAACCCCGGCAGGGCAGTGTAGAGAGGGCAGGGCTGCCGTGCCCTAGAGCCATTCCCACAGTGGGGGTGGCACTTTTCTGTGACCCAGTGCTCAGGATGGTACTGAAGTTGAGTTCTGCTTAGACAAAACCCTGCCAAAAGGAAAAGAGTATTGAGGGGGACTCAGGGCCTTGCTCATACTCCCAATAGTCTCTAAAGAAGCCTCCTACAGTAGTCTCTGGGTACCATCCTCCCTGTGTGTCAGGACTTGCCAGCTCCTTCATGGGCCATTGTCACAACTCCCCACAGATCTGCCCTTTCCTTAGCATCCCCACAGTTTACAAGTAGTGTCACCCTCCCTGGGCCTCTGTCTGCCTGAGCTCTTGGGGTTCCCCTTGTAGGGTTACTGTGCACCCATCCCCCAAGAGTGGAGAGCCATTTGCCAGCTGTGTATGTGAGAGGGTGGGCAGAGCCAGCCTGTGCAGCTGCTGAGAGTAGGTCCTCCTGAGAACTGCCCCTGGCATTTGGACACTGTGCAGCAGGGGCGACCTGCTGCCCACTTGGAGCAGGACATCATGGAGGGCCATACTCCTACCTCTGGCATTCGGTTCGAAGGTTTGTTAGGGCACTCCCCTGTCCCAGACATGGTTGCCCCATCCTCCTCTCCTGTCCTGACCAGTTGCCCAGGACAGCTTCCTTTTACCACATCACCAGGCCCCTTGCTCCAGACCACATTGCTGCTATCGGGGACTGTCCTGGCTGCAGATATGTCCCTTGCTTGGGTCCTTCCAGCTTGATACCTTCTCAGTGTTTGCTGACCCTGATCTGTGTCTGTTTAGGGTTGGCTCCTTCAGCTGCAGGGCCAGCAGAACTCACCTTTCCCTAATCAGTGGCAGTGCCTCACGCAGTACTGGCACAGGGACTCCGTAGGCAAGCAGGCTTGGTTTTGCATAAAGCCTTGGTTTTTTGTGACCTTTCAGGCTGTTTCTGCCTCCTAACACCTGTCTTTCTCTCCCTGTGTATTTTTGGTTTTTTTACTAGCTTGTAGCATCTGACTGAAAACCTGGAAAATGAGAACAATTCTCCATGAGACTCACCTAGACCTGCTGTCCCATGTGTCAGAGTCTGCCCTGTCCCTAGCTTCATACAGAGTTGCTTTTGTGTAAAGCAGCAGCTACAGATACATTTCCCCTCTAACCAAGAGGACAGAAGTAGATCCTGTCAAGGTCCATGGGGTTTCTCAGTATAGATGGCCTGTCTTATGCCTTCCCTCTGCCCTGCTTCAATCTGTAGTGTACATCTCCAGAGCTGGTTGATTGGCCCTGAAGATCTGTAATTTCAGCCTGTTTGGGGGTCAGTTCCTCTGCTGTGGCCTCACTAGCTGTGACAGGTGCAGTGGCAGCCCGATGGTACTGTAGGTGGTAACTCCTGGGAGAGGTCAGGTGTGGACAGGTAGCTGTGGAAAGGTCTGGGTTCAGCTGGACATGTTGGTGCACAGCTATAATCCAGGACTCCAGCAGGCTGAGGCAAGAGGATTGTTGCAGGTTCAAAGCCAGCTTGGCTATAAAGTTAAGTTCAAGTCTAGTTTGAATGACATAGTGAGACCCTGTCTCAAAAAGACAAAAGAAGAAGAAAGATACTTGTTCTTGGGGCTGTAGGCCCTGATCTGCCCTGAAGTTGCGTGCACTGTGTGTTCCAAATCCTCTGCGTGGCTTCTGACAGCCTGCGCACTATAAGCGGCAAAATAGCTGTGGAACTGTGTTGTATGGGAGCAACAACAAAACGCCGTCGGTGCTGCTCACTGAGCTGGTTCTCCTGTCTGTGCTCGGCAGCTGCATGGAGGTTGCAGCCACGGAACCAGGGCCAGCTGTTGCCCAGCAGTGCCTGAGTGGCATCTCGTACACTCTGACATCAGTGAAGATCCAAGTTTTCAGGAAGCACTTCTGCGCCTGCTCTAACTGCCTGTGTGTTATTTTCTGGGTCTTGTGTTTCAGATCTCTTGAGGACAGTCCCGAGGTCCAGAGCAGAGATGTTTGGTGACACTCACGGGGACAGCAGATTCGCCCTCAGTGGATCTGTGGCACACTCCCGGGACACCAGCAGAGAAGCCCTGCGGGGTGACACATTCCCAGGACCCTCCTTCCGGTCAAGCAGCACTTCCATCAGTGACGACAGTTACTTTCGCAAGGAGGGCAGCCGGGATCAGGAATTTGCCCATTCTGACTCGCGAGAGCAGGCCCTTGGCCACCGGAAGTTGGGACATTTTCATTCTCAGGACTGGAAAGTGGCTCTCCGTGGCTCTTGGGAGCAGGACATGGGCCATCCGGTTTCTCAAGAGTCCTCTTGGGCACAGGAGTTTGGTTTGAGTCCTTCCACTGCTCTGGGAGACCTGGGCTCCTCCAGGCGGCTTGAGAAAGAGCATTTGGAGAAGGAGAGTCGGGAGTACGACGCGGACCATCCCGGAGAGGCTGACACCGTGCCCAGAGCCAGTGGACAGGGCCAGGCCCGAGCCCGCGCTCTCAGCGTCGACCAGGAAGGTGGCCTTCTGGGAAAGGGGGACACACAGGGCCTGCTGGCAGCCAAAGCTGGTGTCGCAAAGCTCGCCACTCTGAGAAACGTGACCACAGTGAAAGTGCCCACTCTAAATCGTGTTACCCCCAAAAGTCAGGGCACTAACCAGACCCAGAAAAGTACCCCAAGTCCTGATGTGCCCCTGAGGACAAACCCTGGAGTGGAAGAGCTGCAGTTCCCTGTCCCGAAGATCCCCTTGGGGCTCGACCTGAAGAACATCCGCTTCCCCAGGAGAAAGATGAGCTTCGATATCATAGATAAGGCTGATGTCTTCTCCAGGTTTGGGATCGAGATCATCAAGTGGGCTGGGTTCCACACTATCAAAGATGACGTGAAGTTCTCTCAGCTTTTCCAGACTCTCTTTGAGCTCGAAACTGAAACCTGTGCCAAGATGCTCGCCTCCTTTAAGTGCTCCTTAAAACCGGAGCACAGAGATTTTTGCTTTTTTACTATCAAATTTTTAAAGCACTCTGCTTTGAAGACCCCGCGAGTTGATAACGAGTTTTTAAACATGCTTTTAGACAAAGGTGCCGTGAAAACCAAAAACTGCTTCTTTGAAGTCATCAAGCCCTTCGACAAGTACATCATGCGGCTGCAGGACCGCCTGCTCAAGAGCGTCACGCCCCTGCTCATGGCCTGCAACGCCTACGAGCTCAGCGTCAAGCTGAAGACGCTTGCCAGCCCCCTGGACCTGGCCCTGGCCCTCGAGACCACCAACTCCCTGTGCCGGAAGTCGCTGGCGCTCTTGGGGCAGACCTTCGCTCTGGCCTCCTCTTTCCGGCAAGAGAAGATCCTAGAAGCCGTCGGCCTCCAAGACATAGCCCCCTCCCCAGCTTCCTTTCCCAACTTCGAGGACTCCACTTTGTTTGGGAGAGAGTACATCGACCACCTGAAGGCCTGGCTGGTGGCTAGTGGGTGTCCCCTGCGAGTGAAGCGGCCAGGGCCAGAGCCGTCACGAGAAGAAGACAAGACGGCCCTTCCTGCAAAACCTGAGAGCCATGCCAGGCCTCTGAGCGATGGTGAGCCACACACCGGACGTGGGGGGGTACTCTTCCTACATGGGTGACATCTTCCCCACAGATGTCCTTCAGTGACCTGTACCTGATCAAGGTTTAACACTGGCCAGGGCCACTTGCCCTTCCTCTGGCAGACCTGTGTGAGGGTTCTGTCCTCCACAGAAGCCCGTGGGTGTATCTGAGTCACAGACCCCTCTAGAAATGGGAGAAGCTGAGTCTCTCACCAGGGAGACAAGTGTTCAGACAGTTTGACCTGTGCTTTCCATCAGATGATCAAGGGTAACAGTCCTTGTTGCTGTGTTCTGCCTGTATCCAAGGTAGTGGTAGAATACAGGAAAACCTCTGGACACCGTTTCTGAGGTGACCCCAGCCTCCAGGGAAAGAGTAGGAGTTCTGGGCATGCCTGTGCTAGGTTCCAGGGCAGGCAGGCAAGGCCCAGCATGCTCTGGGAGGCCGAGGTGCATGAATAAGTGCTCTTGGGAGCCGCATGCTGGCCCAAGTGTGGGTGCCCCACCCCGTGCATGCTCCTTAGACCAGTAGGGAGTTGAGTGCAGGCTGACAGCACCTGGGCGTTGGCTCCCTCCCGCCCCACTCACCCCCAGGGTCACACACAGCGCCTTTGGTTCTCCCTCCTGCAACTTCTGCAGCTCATTTATTCCAGGTCTCCCTCCTTCCTACTCCCTGCCACCCCTACCCTTGGCACCTCAGCCAGACTAAGCACCAGACCTTCCAGAGCCAGCTCAGGGCCTATATGGTCCCTTCCCTTCCCCTACTCCTTAGCGCTGCACAGGAATAGGATCCTGGTAAGCAGTGTGTGGTGACGCTGCCACAGTGCCCAGGTATTTGAAGGTGCAGGGTGCTGGGCTCTGCATTGCTGGCCACACTGGGACGCTGACCCCTCATGAATAGCCCTTCACCGTGCCTTGATAGTAGTCCATGCGCATCTTTGCACATTGGTGGCCTAGACTGTGCCTACACGCTGGGCCAGTGTGGTACAGGCTTGAGTCCCACCCCTCTGCCATCCACCCCTATAGAAATTCCAGGGGATGCCTGTAGTGCAGGTGCCACTTAGTCATCTTTGGAGCATTGTAGTTCTCCCTTCAAGGAGGCATCATCAGGAGCGGGCTGCCACTCTCTTGAAAGTGGTCACCTCCCAGCCCTTGGGACACGTGTCATCACGTGGCAGTGAACACGTTTGCTACAGTGGCCACATTACATTGCTCTCTGACTTGGAACTTCAGATTCTTTTGTAAAAGCATAGAAAACAAGCAGCTTTGTAAAATGAGAGGCAGCAAATAAGAAAATACAGTCTCAAAGGATAGGTTTGCAGCAGTCTGAGGGTTTCGGGGTAACCTACTCACGGCCTGTGTAGAAACCTTGCCCAGGCCCAGTGGTGCCATCACGTCTCACCTGGCACGACAGAGGCCCTGCACTGTGAACAAAGGTAAACGCACACTGCCTTTTTAAAAATCAGAAACTTAGGGGCTGGGGAGATGGCTCAGTAGAATAAGTGCTTCCCTGGCAAATGTAAGGACCTGAGTTCAGTCCCCAGTTCCGCAAAAAAAAAAAAAAGGAAGAAAAGAAAGTAGCAAAAATCAGAAACTTAGGGCCGGGGTGATAGCTCAGTAGAATAAGTGCATGCAAGGTTCTGAGTTCAATCCCTGGTACCGCAAAGACAAATGAGATACTTTTTCTATAAATTTATATACTTTATGATTATTAGATATTAGCTTGTTTTTTAAAGATTAAAACACAAAGAAAATTAAGTCCTTGATAAATGTACCACCTATAGAAAACCTATTGTTTGTTTGTCTATTTTGAGACAAGGTCTTGCTGTGTAGTCCAGGTTGGTCTCAAACTCATAGCAATGCTCTTGCTGCAGCCTCTCAAGGGCTGTGATTATAAGGCCTGTGCCGCTGCTCCCAGCTCTGGATCTATTTCTCTACCTTTCTTTTGGTGGGGGGAACAAAGTCTCATTGTGTAGTTCAGGCTTAAACTCACTATGTAGGGCTGGTGAGATGGTTCAGTGGTCTAAAGCACCTACTTAGAACAAGCTTAGCAAAGCACAGGGACTGCGGTTCAATCCCCCAGCACCACATGCCAGCCAGCCCCGCCCCCTGGTGGGCTGAGCTGCCCCCCCACGTATAAATAAACAAAATTTTAAAGAATAATAATAATAAAATAAATAAATAAATAAATAAATAAATAAATAAAAACCTCACTATGTAGCCCAGGTTGGCCTCAGACTCAGAGCAATCCTCCTCCCTCAGCATCCTGAGTACTGAGATTGCAGGTGTGAGCCACCATGTTTGGCTATTTGTGTGCCATTATTTTCTACCTTTATATTGAGAAACATACTAAAACCTCTTCATTTATCCATTCTGTGGTATTGGGACGGGGCCTTGCACATGCTAGGCATGTGTGCTCCACTGGGCTGTGCCCCAGCCCTAGGTCCTTAGGCAGACTTTTTCCCCTAGATCATTGGTTCTGCTGCAGTAGTGAGAACACTCCTTCATGGAGCGATCGTGAAGATGTTGGCTGCAGTTCTCTGTGGTTCAGTACAAGGCTGATGCTGTACTATCCACTGTGTTTCTCAACAAGCCATTCTGTGTTCCAGCAGTCCCACAGCGAGCGGACTACAGAGTAGTAGACACCATTGACCAGCTCGTAACGCGTGTTGTTGAAGGCAACCTGTCTCCCCGGGAGAGAGCAACTCTCAAGGAGGACCCTGCTTACTGGTAGGTCTGCGGTGGAGGCCCGCCGAGCCCCCTCATACCCTCCCATGGGGGTCTGTTTGTAGCAGCAGGGTCATCCAGTGGGAAGGGCAAGTGGGGGGTATTGCCTGGATTTCAGGCCCTGGCTCTGCTGTAGCCCACCACAGGGCCAAGCCCCAAGTGCCTGGGTGCTGTCCTTGGGACGCGGGGAGCTGTGTGTGCCACAGTGGCCAGCAGGACGAGGTTGTGCGGTGTATGCTGAGATTCACCACAGCACCCTCCCCTTTTCCCTTGCTGCCTCTTTCTGGCTGTGGAACAGTCCCTTCCATGCCAGTGTGCATGGTACTCACTTACTGGAGAAAGTGAAGTGCAGCTGGAAGCAGGGGTTGCGCACCTGTGTGCCTGACACCCCACGTGTTCGTGCATCAGTAGCTCTTGGCTTTCGCTGGGGTTATATTCCAGTCACTTCAGTGAATGCTGAAAATAGCACAATGTAAAGGATGTGGGGCCTGGGAGATGGCTCAGTAGAATAAGCACTTTCCTGGCAAGCGCAAGTTCCTGAGTTCAATCCCCTGTTACACACACACACACACACACACACACACACACACTAATAATAATAATTAATACAGTAAAATAAAGGATGCATTTAGGCAGGTATGGTAGCGCATACCTGTCATCCCTGCTGCTTGGGAGGTTGAGGCAGGAGGATCGCAGGTTAGTGACGTGTGGGAGTCCCTATCCAAGAAGAAAAAGGCAGGGACAGTTGAATGTAGAGGCTCCAGTTCAGGCCCTAGCTCTGAAAATGGCTGAGATTCAAGTCCAGGTTCCCTACTCTCAGGTCCTGTGGAAGAGTAAGGTAGCCATAGGGCCACAGGTGGGAGCAAAGCTGAGCCCTCTAGGTAGGTAGGAGTGTTGCGATGTGGAAGGACAGGTAATTATTTTGTGACTGACAGGGTGATTGGGACACAGGCCAAAGGTGCAAGCTCACACACATTCAGAGCCCGACATGCCATAGCTGGAGGGGGGGGGGACACCCAGACTCAGCATTGAACAGATGAGAACATGTTAGACAAGATGTGAAAGGAAACCGACCACATGGAGAGCAAGTGAGGTGACTCCTGGGAAGACTGAACCATTCAGAGATCCGGTCTATTGAGCCCAGAACTAAGAGAAAAGTCTCCGGGGAGCAAGGGTATTATGTCTGGGAAGCCGGAACTGGGAAGCAGGAAAAAGAATCCATCGTAGGTCTCATAAGGGAAAACTGTAGTCTTTAATGAAGATCTCAAGTCCCCGCTGAGACAGCCAAGGAGCAGACTCTGACACTCGTAAGCTCCTGCACACAGCTTTGCCCAGAGATGCAAGGAGAATTTGAGAAAGAGACAGTGGGCTGAACTTAAGGGCTGGGATAGCTGCTTCAGTCCCCTGGACTCCAGAAAGCGGAGCCTAGCCAGGCTGCAGCCCATACTGTCTCCCTCAGTCCTGTGTTGCCCTTACCTTGTTGCAAAGGGAAGTGGGACTGCGCTCACCTCCTGCCAGTATCCCAGGCCTCCTTCCTCACTGGTGCCTGGCCACCCACGGCAGGGGCCTAGTGTCTGGTGCTGGCCTGCCCCACCCAGACCATGCCACCCGAGAGCCTCATGGGATACCTCACACCTCACCTGCGCCCTCAGTCACCTCCAGGTGCCCTGGAACACCTGATACAGTGTGCAGGCTATGCAGAATTGTTGCATGAGGAGAGCTGGCACACATTCAGCACAGGAGCAGGTCCTCAGTTGAATATAACTGATTTGTGGCGTGAATCCAGGTAGAGAAGTAGTATGTGTTCAGGAGAAGCATCTTGCTAAAAAAAGAAAGATGGTTTCTTGCTATTGCCTGGGTTGGCCTTGAACTCCTAGACTCTAGGGACCCTCCTACTTCAGCCTCCTGGGTAGTTGGGGCCATGGGGCCACACTACTATGCTTGGCTTGAAAATGTTTTGATCTCACTTTGCATTGGCTGGGGTTCTCTAGCAGAACAGAGTCAGTAGGAAATCTGTGTGTAGGGGACCGGCAAGATAGCTCAGCAGACTAAGCGCCTGCTTGGCAAGTACAGGGACCTGGTTCGATCCCTGGCACCACATGCCCCGCCGGCCCCACCCCCTGGGCACACTGAGCCAGCCACTGAGACTGGGTGTGGTGGCACACGCCTGTAATCCCAGCGCTGGGGAGGCTGGAAACAGGAGGATCACTAGGAGTCCAGACTGCATAGTGAGACCCTGTACCAAATACATTTTTTTTAAAAAAAGGGAAATCTGTGTGTGGTTATACAGATGCCGTATAAGGTAGTACACAGCATCAAAGGCAGGAGAACCTGTAGCAGCCTTCCCGGGTGGGAGAGCCAGGGACTCAGGAGCTGCTCTGCACAGATCAGAGAGGCCAGGCCGGGTGACAGTCTCTTAAGAGGCTGGGGAGGTGCTGGGGCAATGCCGTTGCCAGAGGATGAGCCCATGCAGACGCACCTCCTCCCCTCTGGTCCACCCAGGTTCGGCACCGCTGTATCTAGAATGGGCCCTGCCTCTCGGTGCCAGCCAGGCAGCTTGGCAGTCCCCCACAGGCAGCCCCAGCATTCACCGGGTCCCCGTGAGTGCGCACCCTGGCTGACTGACACGGCTCGCGAAGCTGCTTAGGTTGGCCCCACACCTTTGAGCCTCCCTGCCTCAGCCTCCTGAGTAGCTGGAGTGCAGGTGTGTGCCATGGCGCTGTCTTTGTGTGTTATTGAGTGAAGGGCAGTCAGATGGGGCTGAGAGACCGCCTAGGGGGAGGCAGTTGGTAGCTCCCACATTTGCAGAGGCGACAGTGTTTGGGAGAGGGCAAGACTTGGAGCACTTGCAGAGCAAGGGGTAGAGGTGGGCAGCTTGCGTGGACATGGTGGCAGTGGGCCCCAGATGCCAGCCAGAAGAGACTGTGGGGCGGGGCTGCCAAGGGCTGGTGCTATCCAGGCTGGGCGCTGCAGCAGGGTAGCCTTGGTCTTCCATTCCTGCCCTCCCCTTCTCGCTCCATGCTGGGAACAGCCCGGGGCCTTGTGTGTGCCACACAAGTGCCCTCCTTGGGGCCACACCCCAGGCTCCCCCTCTCATGTCCACCCTGTCCCTGACAATGTGTGTGAGCATGGGATGCACAGTGGATGCCCAAACCCTGTTAGTCCTCCTGTGGGTCTTGTCGCCTCTGCTCCAGTGCAGACCCTGATTAAGTGTCCCATGTACCTGCCGCAAGCCAGTTGGGTTTCGCCTGGGTGCCCCATGTCCTCAGGGTGACTGGACTGTGTTGCAAGGATTTGTGAGCTTCTCAAAAGGAGAAGGAGGGGCTGGTGAGATGACTCAGTGGTCTAAAGCACCTACTTAGAACAAGTTTAGCAAAGCACAGGGACCTCGGTTCAATTCCCCAGCACCACATGCCAGCCAGCCCCACCCCCTGGTGAGCTGAGCTGGCCACGCGCGCACACACACACACACACACACACACACACAAATAAATAAATAAATAAATAATTTTTAAAAAAGGAGAAGGAGCCTGGCCAGTGGCCCTAGGGTCACCATGGGCAGGCTGGGCACCCTGGGTCTGCTTTGGGTCTTTGAGAAGCCCTCAGAGCCCCCACCTGGCAGAGGGCAGGGGAAGGGCTTACTGAGGAAGGCTTTACAGATCCAGGAGCGGCAGCTGCACACACCTTCAGTCCTAGCATTGGGGGAGGCTGAGGCAGGAGGACCACAAGTCCCACCCCAGCCTGGGCAATGTAGGGAGACTTCTCAGAATAAAGAAGGGGGAAGGGGCAGGGGGGACACTGGCCTGGCCTGGCCTGGGGTGGGGGCTGAGGACGGGCTTGCACAGCCTCCACTGGGCAGCACCATCCCACACACCTCTACCTGCCTTGCCCAGGTTCCTGTCTGATGAGAACAGCCTGGAGTACAAATACTACAAGCTGAAGCTGGCTGAGGCGCAGCGCGGGAGCCAGGCCCCGGTGGGCTCGGATTGGAAGCCGGCCCCAGCCGAGTGTGCTGTGCGGGCCATGCTGTACGCGCGCGCTGTGCAGAGTCTCAAGCGGAGGCTGCTCCCGGGCCAGCGGCGGCGGCTGCTCCGCACCCAAGGCCTCCGTGGCTGGAAGGCCAGGCGCATGACCACAGGGACCCAGACGCTGCTGTCCTCGGGCACCAGGCTGAAGCCCCTTGGCCGGCAGCCCAAGCCACCCCCACCTGAGGGGAACTGTGCTGCTAAGGACTGCCTGGCAGACCCTGCCAGAGCCCCTCCTCGGGTCGCCAGCCCTAGTGCCCCCGGCCCGGCGCCCAAGTCCCCCAAGCTTCCTGGAGCAGATGCTGCTGCCAACGCCCCAGGAACCTCCTCCCCCAGCGAGCCTGCTGACCATGGTGGGTGCTTATGCCTTGTCTGCAGGGACCCAGCCTCTGGGACTGGGCGGCTGGGGAGGTGGCCAGTGGCAGGCAGCTCCTCAGGGTGGGGATGGCACACTACCTGGAGCTCCTAGGACCCTGGGTCCGTGGTGCTCCGGGCCCTTCTAGAAAGTCGTGTGGCATTGAGAGGGCCTGTGCACATCCTCTCTCAGGCTTTGATGTTTCATGTGATGCCTGGGTAGAACCCTGCCCATCCTGGGCTGGCCTCTGTCCACTGGGCTCCTCTGGGCTAAAGTGATGGTTGTGCTGGTGGCCCAGGTGACTGATGTCCCCTGAAGGGTGCACCCTGCTCCTGGGCCAGCTGAAGAGCCCCAAGACTCGGGGAAGGACCCAAGAGTCCCAAGCTCCACAGCGATGAAAGATGCTGTGTCTTGCAGTTGACGCAAAGACCATGGAGACTGCAGAGAAACTGGCGAGATTCGTCGCTCAGGTGGGACCCGAGATTGAGCAGTTCAGCATAGAAAACAGCACCGACAACCCCGACTTGTGGTGCGTACCCTGCTGCGCAGCCTGTGAGTGTGCAGGGCCACCTTACGCCCCTGCCTGGAGTCTTGTGGGGATGTCAGGGTGCCACAGCCAGGCCTGCGCTGTGGGCAGGAGGGGAAGTGTTCCAGCATCCCAGGTGGGACCTTTGAAAGCTCGCTGGAGTACGCCAGGTCTGCCTTTGAGGGCAGGAGGGGTGAGAGAACACATGGCCTGCATGCTGGCAGTTGTGTTCCCCACAGACTAGACAGCAGGCATTTGCATTTGGGGATGCCGCACACCCTCCCACCCTCAGGTGGGTCAGCTCAGTGCCATCTAGCCTGGCAGTGGCCGGCATAGGCTGGCGCACAGGAGTGCTGTGGTGATCTGACCCAGAAGCCAAAAAAACAACCCCATTCGTAGCAGTTGCAGAGACACTCACCGTGCCTTCATCTGGGGGCAAACAGGTCCCCGTGGAAAAATGTCTCGGCTCTTTCCCAGGGCACTTTGGAGGCTGGGGGCTCTGTGTCCCCACTCAAGACCTCTAGCTTGCTGGCATCTGCACCTCGCCAGTAGTAGGCCAGGGCAGCACGGTGGTCCCTTCACATAGGAAACATGTGCCTCTGGCTTGCTTGGGTGCCTAAGGTCGTGTCTTGGGGTTGGCTGGGACCGCCTCATCCTGAGAAGCTCAGACTGGGCTTGAGCTCCCTTTGAAGCCCAAGCTGGTCTTAAACTCACAAGGATCCTCTTGCCTCAGTCTCCTGACTGCTAGGATTACAGGTGTGGGCCACCATGAAAAATTCACTTTACTCCCATTTAAATTTATTTTATTTTATTTATTTCTTTTGCGGAACCAGGGATTGAACTCAGGCCCTTGCACTTGCCAGGGAAGCACTTACTCTATTGAGCTAGCTTCCTGGCCCCTAAGTTTAATTTTTTTTTTTTTCATTTTTAGGGGCCAGGGAGATGGCTCAGTAGAGTAAGTGCTTTCCCAGCGCAAGGGCCTCAGTTCAATCCCCAGTTCTGCTAGAAAAAAATTTAAAGAGAACAACAACAAACAATAGAAATGATAAAGAATTTCCAAACAAGATGATAGGAAGTTAACAATGGTTATTAATTATATTGCATTTTATCGTCGAAGTGGTTGTTCAGGTTACCAGATTATAGGCAAGCAAAATTGATCTAACTATATAAGCCCTGACTAGTCCTTTCAGTGAACCAATAGAAACTAGTAGCACAGTTACTTTAGTTCTCTTGTGTATGTATATTTTAGGAGGTCCCCTTCCTCCTCCTCTCCTTTCCCCCATCCCGTTGTTCTCTCCATTTGAGCAGTTTCTTTCCCTTTCAGTGTCTGTTGTACCTTTTGGGTCTTATTTACTCTTTCACTTTCTCACATTAGGGAGCCAGCAGGGTGTTCACACATGTGAGTGTGGTCTCTAGTTACACCCATTTACCTATAAAGGCCTCGAGTTTATCTTGCTTTATAGTGTAGTAGTTCTCCGTTGTATAAACTAGCACATCTTAGGCTGGGGAGATAGCTCAGCAGGGTAAGCAGCTGCCTGGCAAGTGCAAGGTCCTGAGTTTGATCTCTAGTACCACAAAAAACCAAAAAATAACAACAAAAAAAAATAATAAAACACCACATCTTTTTTATCCATTCCTCAGGTAGTGGATATTTGGGTTGTTTGCAAGAGTTAGCTGTGACACATCATGCTGCTATTATAAGCATGGGTGCACATATGTCACTGTGATAGGAGGTTTTCAGTTCTGGAAAAAGCTGTGTTAAATGGGACTTCTAGTCTTTTGACTCTCCACACTGTTTTCCATAGTGGTTGTACCAGCCTACACTCCCATCAAGAGGAGGTACTTAGGGGCTGGTGAGATGGCTCAGTGGTCTAAAGCACCTACTTAGAACAAGCTAAGCTAAGCAAAGCACAGGGACCGCGGTTCAATCCCCCAGCACCACATACCAGTCAGCCCCGCCCCCTTGTGGGCTGAGCTGACCACACACACACACACACACACACACACACAATAAATAAATAAATAAACAAATAAATAAAAAAAAAAGAGGAGGTACTTAGATTTAATTTTAAGGCTTTTTTATTTTTTCTTCTGTTTGTTTACTTATTTTGTATTTTTTAGGGAAGGGTCTACAGGGTGTTCAGGGTCTTACTACTATGTGAACTCATAGTGATCCGCCTGTTTACAGCCTCCCAAGAGCTGGAATTACAGGCCTGGGCCATGAAGCCCAGTCTCCTTTAATGCTTTTTTAAGAAAATCTTTTTGAGGCAAGGTCTCACTGTGCAGCTCAGGCTGGCCTTAAGCTCACTTTGCAGCCCAGGCTAGTCTCGAATTTGAAACAATCCTTCCTCAGCCTCCCAAGTGCTGGGATTTCAAACATGCGCCACCATGCCTGAATAAAACTTTTTGTTTTCTTTGTTCTCTTTACATTTTAAGCACAGCATTCATATTTTTCTAGAAAAAAAATCACGAAAGGTTTTTAGAACTCAAGAGGCTGAGACAGGAGAATGGCCATGAGTTCAAGACCAGCCTGGGCTACAGAGCAAGACCCTGTATCTTTTTTTTTTTTTTTTTAATTTTTTTTTTTTTTTTTTTTTAATTATTTATTTATTTTTTATTTATTACATTTATTTATTGTGTGTGTGTGTGTGGCCAGCTCAGCCCACCAGGGGGTGGGGCTGGCTGGTATGTGGTGCTGGGGGATCGAACCGCGGTCCCTGTGCTTTGCCAAGCTTGTTTCAAGTAGGTGCTTTAGACCACTGAGCCATCTCTCCAGCCCCAAGACCCTGTATCTTGACACACACACACAAATCATAAAGGCAAGGCCTTAGAACCGTCACTCTCGTGCCTCCGCTGCTCATACTTGGGTCTCACACCTGCAGGTGTTCCCTTCCTCCCTGCTCCCTATCCCTTTTCTTTGATGGAGGGCAATACTGAGGATGGAACCTCTGCCCTGAGCTGCATCCTCACTGCTTTTTTATTTGTTATTCTGAAACTGGGTCTCTGTAAACTCCCCAGGTGGCCTCGAACTTGCTACCCTCTTGCTTTGGCCTCCTGGGTAACTGGGGTCTCCTGGTCTATGCTGAGGCTTCTTTGTACATTTGCTGGCCAGAGGTGGGGTGGGACTGGGTCTATGGGAGCCCCAGCAAGCGCCCACTGGGCCGAGCCTCAGCCCCACATCTCTGTCTTGGCCCGGAACTCACCTGGGTTTCGGCTCTGTGCTTCCCTGATGTCCGTGGGTGCTCATCTCTGATGAGCCTGCGTTCATTCCCCGCCACTCCACTGTTCACCTTGCCCTGTGCTCACAGTATGCTTGCGAGGCAGAAGTGTTTTTTGTTTTTTTTTTTTTTGTGGAACCAGGGATTGAACTCAGGCTCTTGCTCTTGCCAGCCAAGCGCTTATTCTACTGAGCCATCTTCCCAGCCCCCCAAGAAGTGTTTTGTGTAGTCACAGTTTTGATTTTTTGTGCTTTGCTTTGTTTTGTAGTGGAGATCAAACTCGGGACCTTGCGCTTGCCAGACAGCCACTTATGCTGCTGTGCTATCTCCCCCACAAAGTTTTTTTATTTTTTAACCTCACCTGGATATTGCATTGCACATTTCCCCTAACTCACATAAGGAAGTTTATGACCAGGTATAGTGATACAAGCCTGTAATCCCAGCACTCTGGATGGCTGAGGGAGGGATATGGCAAATTCAAGCCTAGCCTGAGCAGTTAATGACTCAGCAACGCCCAGTCCAGAAGTAAAAATGCCAAAGGCTGGAGGCTAGAGCTGGAACTTGCTGGTGCAGCACCGTGAGCTGTGTGCCATGCCGACTCCCCAGTACTGCAGAAGGGGCCTGAGTATTCTTATAGAGCTCCAGCGTTTTCCACTTAGGTCCTTTAACTGTACAGGAGCCTTTGGGCACAGAGAGCACAGCCAGCCATGCGGCTGCCTCGTGTGGCACAGTGGGGGACCACCTTCCCACAGCCTCTGGGGTGGCTCCCGGGTGTGGTCTCACTCAGGCTTTTCCAGACGCCTCCTGCAGGGCCGTGAGTGCCAGTGTCCACACTACTCTAGCGACCTCAGTGTCTCCATCTGTGTCCCAGGTTTCTCCACCACCAGAACAGCTCTGCTTTCAAATTCTACCGAAAGAAAGTGTTGGAACTATGCCCCTCCATCCGTTTCACATCATCACCTACTGCCCTGCCTGCCAGCAGTGGCGACCGAAGTGGGGACTCACAGGAGAGCCCCAGAGGCTCTGGAGAAGGGGCAGGGGAGCCAGAGGACCAAGGCCCCACACAGGAAGCAGAGCTGGGCAGCCCTGAGGTGATGGAGGAGGAGGAGGGCGACGAGGAGGACGAGGAGGATGAGGAAGGGGCAGAGGGCACCACTGCCCACAGAGCTGTCAGGCCGGGAACAGGGGCCGCCAAGGCAGGGAGTGCCGAGGGCCACACCCCGACAGATGGCCTCCCTGGTGAGGGTACTGAGGATGACACGCCCGCAGCTCCAGGCCTTTCCCAGGCCACCGTGGGGACCTGCTTCCCCCGAAAGAGGATGAGCAGCAAGTCACTGAAAGTTGGCATGATCCCAGCCCCCAAGCGGGTGTGCCTCATCCAGGAGCCCCAAGGTGAGTACAAGCTGCTGCCTGGGGGCTGGGGACCTGTGTTGGAAAGCCCCAGAATGGCCAGTGTGGTGGCACGGTGTGGAGTTTGTGGTCCTGTGAGTGTTGCATATGTGGGCTGGAGTTCACGCCCAGCACCCAGTGCTCGGCCTAGCCTGACCTTGGGCTGTCACTGCACAGCCTCAGTGCAGACCTGTGTGCCAGTGGTCTGGGGCTGTCCCTTGCTGAGGGGCTCTCCCTAGGCTGCCCCCAGTGTGCCACAAGCTGCCAGCACATCTGTACACATCTTTCCTGCTTGCCAGGCCGGGCCTTGTTCCTGCTTCCAGCCCTGCTGCTGGCCACAGGCAGCTGCACATACCTGCCAGCAGTGGCCATGGGTGACTGGCCTCTTCCCAAGCAGTGGTGACCATGTCTGCTCCATGTGGCACCTCGCTCCTTCCCAACCTTTGAAGGCAGCAGACAGGCAGTGCCTGCTGCTCTCCCAGGGGACTTGGGGATCCAGGCACTTCCTGTTCTACATGGGTCTCTGGTGGGTGAGGAGATGAAACCATCTGCCAGAAGCCGCAGCAGTAAGGGTGGGGCGATGCTGTGCCTGTCTGTGGGCTTCTCACTAGAAGGGGACTGGTGCTCACAGCTGGCAGATAGCATCTCCTCTGGGTGGGTAGTGTCACGTGTGATTTATCATTGAAGCCACACACACTGCTCCTGCCTGCAAAGAACAGGGATCTTCTGTGACACGGGCCTTGGTCGGGGCAGCTCCGTGCAAGCCAGACTGCCCTCAGCAGGCCATGGGTGACACGCACCCAGTCTTTGCGCCCACTCCCCGGATACCTCCATCTCTAGCAGCACTTTCTCTCCCTCCAAGAGACAGGAGGGTGCTGGAGTGCACACATGTCTCTGTCTTACAGTCCACGAGCCAGTACGCATCGCCTATGACAGGCCTCGAGGACGTCCCATGTCCAAAAAGAAGGTGAGCTCCACCATCTGCAGGCCTTGCTTAGGCTGCCTATTGTCACAGCTTGGTTTTGATGGATAGTGCCAGCTACCTGTGCTTCAGTGACAGTGGTCCACAGCTAGCTGTGGGGTGCAGCCTGCAGTGTCTCAGCGTCCCCAGCACTTGGCAGCATGTCTAGTGCCCAACAAAAGCCATGATCATATCTCAGACTGAGGCATTCATGGACAAAATGCAATGGGACAGTTTCCCACAGGACAGTTTCTTCTGTGGTGCTGGGGATGGAGCTCTAGGCCTCTTGCCTGTACAGCAGGCACTTACCTCCTGTCTTTTTTTTTTTTTTTTTTTTTTTCTTCAGTACCAGGGATCAAACTCAGGGCCTTGTGCTTGCCAGGCAGGCACTTACGCCACTGAGCTATATCCCCAGCCCTGGGCTTTATAAATCTGCTCAGAGCTAAGGAGGGGGTGGTGAGTGTGCTGAGGAGGCAGAGACAGGCGCTGTGCTCAGGCCGAGACGCAGAGCAGCTGATGTTGGTGCAGGCCTGCAGAGAGCTGCTAAGGGCACACCCTGGCAGAAGCGTGGGGCCTGGGTCAGCAAGAGGCTGCTGAGCAGGGCTGAATTGACACGGGGGGGGGGGGGGTAGGGACCCTGGTTACAGGGGCTGCTGCGGAGCTTAGCACCACACCCTCCCTTTTTTGTTGTTTTGAGACAAGATCTCACTGCAGTTCCAGCTGCCCTCAAATACCGTGAACCCCAGGCTCGTGGTGATTTTCCTGCCATGACCTCCCAATGCTGGTGTCACAGGCATGTGCCACTGTGTTTGGCTTTGGCTGTGGCTCTTTCTGCCATGCAGGGAGGCCCTGGGCTCCCCATGCCCCTGACACTGGGGAAGCCGATGTGACTGGGGCCTGTCTCCACAGAAACCCAAGGACCTGGACTTTGCCCAGCAGAAGCTGACGGACAAGAATGTGGGCTTCCAGATGCTGCAGAAGATGGGCTGGAAGGAGGGCCGTGGCCTGGGTTCTTGTGGCAAAGGCATCCGCGAGCCTGTCAGCCTGTATGTGGGGAGGTGGTGCCTTCTCTGGGCAGGCCACATGGCTCAGCACCTGTCACTCCCTGGGCCTGAGGCTGGTGCAGCTAGCAGGCCTGTCAGCCAGGTCTCGCTGCTCCTGGGTCTCAGGGCCAAGGGTGCTTTTGGGCGTCACTGCAGCAGCATGGGTTGGGGGCCTGAGACTACTCACAGCTGATGGGCGTTGTGGCACCACTGGACAGCGCTGCAGAGCAGCTCCTGCTGGGACCTCTGTACTTGTGGGTGGTGGGGTACTCCGCTTTCTCTGTCCTGGAATGTGGCTTTTGCTTCTCAGGATGCCCTGTTCCTGGTTCACTGACCCCACTTCCTCCACAGGGGCACCGCCTCGGAGGGGGAGGGCCTGGGCGCTGATGGCCCCGAGCAAACGGAGGACACATTCGACGTCTTCCGCCAGCGCATGATGCAGATGTACAGACACAAGCGGGCCAACAAATAGGTACGCATGCACACAGCACATCAGATGCCACCACAGAAGTAAAATCAGGGACTGGGGGGTTTGTCCTAAGTTCGATCCCCGGTACCCCCAAAAAATAATAAATAAAAGCAAAGCCATATGTGGTAGTGCATGCCTGTAATCCCAGCATTTGGGAGGCTGAGGGGCCAAGATGGCCAGCCCAGGGTACATAGCAAGACTCTATCTCAGGACAATAGATAAATAAATTCACTTCATCCTGTGTGGGAAACAGGATTTCTGGTCTTGGCCGTGTCCTGCCCATGCTGAGGTAGCCTTGGAACCGGGCCTGAGGACTCACATGCCTGCCAGGTGCTCCTTGCCCCCTCATATAGAACCAGGGTGCCACTGGCCCCCTCTCCTGGGTTGTGTCCCTGGTGATAACCAGCAGGCCCAGTGGGGAGGACAGGGGACCCAGATCCCGAGGCTCCCACGCAGCGGCTCCTGGGGGCCATGTGCCTCTCCGCTCCCCACAGCTCTTCTCCCCATTCCTTCAGGCTCTGGGTGAACACAGCTCTCTCTTCAGACTGATGAGACCTGCCCAGAGCAAGCTCGGCTCCACACGCCACTGCCTGAGCGCTGCACACCGCCCACCACCCTAATCCGCAGAGCCTGGCGCCCGCCTACTTGTATATAGTCGCTGCACAGGCTCTGCCCTGCGTCCTGAGAGCAGCTGCTGCTCAGCCACCAGGGCCTGGCCTCACTCCCACACTGGGGGTGCCCTCCCCTCCCTCGCCCTGTCTTGGGTCATCCTCTGAAGGTGGTACAGCCACCAGGAGGTCCTGCGGGCAGCATAGCTGAATGCCTGGTTGTAGCCCCCACTGAGGGACAGTGCTCCAGGGGTGCACTGGGAGCAGATGGGGCTAGTGAAAGCCACAGACCACTGCCTCTTCTTTAGAGCCATGGGGGCACCTCACTGTCCCAGAGCTGTGAGCTGAGGTCTCTGCAGGGCGTGACCCTGGGTTGTTTAAATGTCTTGTTGGTGGCATCTCATCCTTAAGCATCCTGAGAGACTAGACAAGACTGCAGCAGCAGCAGAGCCTTGCTGTCCTCAGGAGGCCTCCTGACGCCCCCATCCCTAGTGCCAGTGGGAGGCAGACTGAACCCTCGGCTGGCGGGGCTCCCATGCAGGCAGAGTCCGCTTCCTGCGCAGCAGCGGGAGTCACTTTGCAGCCAGGTGTGGTGGTTCCCACTGTGATCCCAGTGTTCAGAGGCTGAGGCAGAATGGTGGCTTCAAGCTCAAGGCCGGCGTGGATGATATAGCAAGACCTTGTCTCAGAGAAAGAATAAAAAGTCATTTTGTGTGGAGCAGGAAGGTGGCGCTGGGCCCGCAGTGGGCTGTGGCTCCTAGCGTGCGAGGGTCTCAGTTCTGGTTTCCGCTGTTTGCCAAGTGGAGGCCGTCATGCTAAGCAGTGGTGTTGGAGGTCCCAGCAACAAGGAGGGTGTTGCCTGCAGCTGCATGCAAAGAGCCACGTTGCGGGATAGGGCCTCACTGCTTGGAGCTGCGGCATCTGTAGGCTGCTGTCAGCTCCTCCCAAGGTGCAGTGTTGGCCCTGTGTGGCGGGGCGGCAGAGGGCAGCACTAGGGGCTGCTGCTGCACTGCACCCCTCCCTCCCCCTCCGCTCCAGCCCCCTGTGCTCTGCTGTGCCTGCAGCCCGGTCTCTGATTCATACCTGTGCAACAAACCTAGCAAGGAGGGGTGGCCTAGTGACGCAGTGAGACCCTGTCTCACGGTGAAAAGGCCAAGAGCCGCGACCCAGCACACGGGCAGTGTGTCCACCCCTGCACAGCAGGAAGCAGCCGTAGAGTACTCCAGGCCCTGGCTGCGCTTCTGTGGCAAGGCAGCACCAGGGCAGGCCTCAAGGCAGCGGGTCCTTGTCACATCCCCGTCTGGCCCAGTCACTATGGGGAGGGAGCGCTGGGTGCAATGCGGTGTACATATGAGACCTATTTCGAGTCACAGTGTTGTTTCTGTCCTGGTTGCAGGGTCCGTGTGAGGACGCCGGGCATCCAACAGCGCTGTGCTGCCACCCTGGGTGTGATTGTCCCTGCCTTGTTCTCGTCCTTGGGGCCCCATAGGGAATGTTAGTGATTTGGTCCTTGGTAAAACCTAGAAGATGTCCGTGATGTTACCAAAAGGAAGTTTTGTTTTCTAAGAAGTTGTGAATGTTGTCAATCATTAGCGGTTGCAATAAATGTAGAGGAAACCTAATTGCAGTGTTCTGCGCCAGTACTGCTACTCCTGGGCCTACTTCTGGGCCCACCCTGCGGGTCCTTGTGCCGCAGGACAGCAGGTAGGAGCCGTTCCTGTTGTGCGGGAAGCTGGCACCCAGCCTTCCTGGAGTGGTGCCAGGGTCAGACCTGCGCCCTCTCTGGCTTACCCCAGGCGCCAACTCTGGCGGACTTCTGCAGAAGCAGGGGCAAAGGGGGCGGCATGAATAAGGATGAGGCTGGTGCCCACCCAGGATGGGGATGCTCGCGTGAGGAAGAGGGCAGTCAAGCACATGGGACTGGGGGAACCTTAGGCCATGAGGGACCCACGTCTACCACCCCTGCCTGGGCAGTGTTGGTGCTGCTCCCGCTGGGGGAGGGCAGCAGGGGACTGTGCTGGGGAGGGTGACTTGGGAGTAGAGGGGGTCCTCACTGAGCCATGGGCCTCAGAGTTTCCTCCTATAGTGGGAAGGGTGGCCCCAAGGAGGGGACCTGTCCCTGCCACCTGAGGGCAGGCCCCCTGGAACCTTGGCTGTGTGACCCCCTCTCCATGCCATAGCATCCCAGGGCTGTAATGGTGGCAGTCACACCCACACACAGTGGGGGACAACCGCCCACATGGGCCGCCCATGGTAGCACACAGCTGTGATGCCAGTGCGCCAGAGGCTGAGGCAGGAGGAGCAGAGCACAGCTGGGGGTGTAGCTCAGAGCTTTGGGGGCTCAGCCGGCCGCCAGCGCTGGGAAATGAGTGCCGCAGATCAGTGCTTGGCGCAGGTTCCCTCGCTTCCCGGAGGAGGAAACGTGGGCGGGGCCAGCCCGCTGCTTGGCTTTATTTTTTGTTTTATAAGTTAACACCTGGCAGAAGTCAAAAGGCGTGGATCATATTCTGCAGACAAATGACAGCCTCCCTCCAAGTGTGTTTTACAGTGACGAATGAGAAGACAGCCATGTTTTAGGGAACACTGAATACACATTTTTCCCTACATTCTGTTCGCTTAAGATTTTTTTTTTTACATTTATTGTGTGTGTGTGTGTGTGTGTGTGTGTGTGTGTGTGTGTGTGTGTCCAGCTCAGCCCACCAGGGGGCGTGGCTGGCTGGCATGTGGTGCTGGGGGATCGAACCGTGGTCCCTGTGCTTTTCCAAGCTTGTTCCAAATAGGTGCTTTAGACCACTGAGCCATCTCTCCAGCCCCTGTTCGCTTAAGATTTTTCTAAAAAACACGGGCTGGGGCATGGCACAGTGGCTTCCATCCCCTGAACTGAGAAGAAATGGAGATAAAGAGGTCACAGACTTGAGTGTAGGGGGAGCCAGGCAGGCACACACCTGTGCTCCCAGCCCACTGGAGGCTGAGGCAGGAAGATCTGAGTTCAAGGCCAGCCTGAAATACACAGCAAGACCTTGTCTCAAAAAAATAAAAAGAGCCAGCCAAATAGTAGATTAAAGCGCCTGCAAGCAGGAACAGGGGCCCAGGGGTTCAATCCCCAGGCCTGCCATGTGAGCCCTGCAGTTGAGACTGGGCATGGTGGTGTGTGCCTGTAATCCCAGCTCTTAGGAGGCTGTGAACAGGTGGCCAGTCCGATCTAGTAGTGAGAGCCTGAACACCCTGTGGGCCCTTCCCTAAAATACCAAAAAAAAAAAAAAAAAAAAAAAAAAAAGGGCACAAAGGGTGGCCCACAGGGCCTGTGGCACAGCCCCTGCCCTATGACAAGTCTTCCGGCTGTGGCTAGCCCCTCTGGACTCTTAAGGCTTGCCTCCTGTGGAAGACAGCCCGTTGCCCAGAGGGGAAGCTGAGACCCGGGCCATCCACACAAGTCCCCTGGGTACGTGCGCCATGCCCACGCAGCAGGCCACTGCTTCCCACCAAGCCCAGCCTTTGCTCCTGCTTGTGAGAGGCTGGACTCGGACTGCAGGGTCGGGGTGGGTCCCAAGCTGAGAAAGACGGGCAGATCTGGCTCCAGAGACTGCTTTTTATGCTTTTGGTTTTTGTCTTGCAGTGCTGGGGTGGAACCCAGGGCCTTGTACATACTAGGAAAGCACATACCCTTGAGTTCTGTCCTTGGCCTTTATTTTAACTTGTTAATTAAGTTCATGGTATGGGGGATTGAACCCAGGGTGCTCCACCACTTAGCTACGTGCCCAGTCACTGTTTCAGGGTCTCCCTAAGTTACCCAGGCTGGATACAAGCTTGCCTGCCATAGCCTCCTAAGTAGCTGGAACTACAGGTGTGCACCCCACATACACCCAAGCACTTGCTCGATTTTTTTTTTTTTTTTTTTTTTTTTTTTTTTTGGTTTTGTGTCATTTTTGAGACCAGGTCTTGCTACACGGTTCAGGTTGGACTTGCACTCCCAGGGATCCTCCTACCTCAGCCCCCCGCAGAGCTGGGATGATAGGCACACACCACCTCGCCCCTGCTTGCTTGTAGGATGACCACGCAGGACACGACTGTCCACAGATATAGCCAGGCAGTACCCGCACTGGGCGGAGCACATGGAAGAAATGGCCAAGAAAAAGGCCTTCAGCCCACTGTGGTCATGGGAACCTCTCCCGGAGCCTGGGGCAGGACATCACTGGAGCGGGAGTTGAAGGCCAGTGTGGGCAATGTGAAAAGCCTGTCTCAGAACAAAACAAAACCTGCTAGCTGGAAAATACGCTTGAGATTTTAAGGAATGAGCTGCGTCCTGAAAGATACAATTCAGTCGCACACACTGCATGGTTGGTAGCTGCAGGCGCTGCTCTGTGGCAGTACATGAGGCCGAAGGTGGAGGCTCGCAAGGGCAAGGGCAGCCTGGGCAACTTGGAGGTACTGCCTCATTTTCAAAAGTGTTGGTGCTGAGCACTTGCTGAGCCCAGCCTGGGGGTCGTCCTCTGGCCAGCCTTGCACATCCATACCATTGCAGGACCATGGCGTTGGTGGGGCGGGCTCTCCTGTCCCTGCGTCCCTGCCCTTCCCTCTCGGGAGCCAAGTCACAGTGAGCTCAGCGAGGAGACCCTTTCCGCCCTGCAGACTTGGAAGGAAGCGTGCTCAGGAGCACGTGCAGCAGCCTTTGTTCCCTGGCAGCTGTGCTGGGAGGAGGAGAAAGCAGATTTGAAGCAAAGCAGCCGCTTCCTGTGGCGCTAGCTTGGCTTCCTGTGGACCATTGTCCCTAGCTGCCACCAGTGTCCCCAGCGTCTGCTTGCCACTCCTCAGCCACGTGTCTGAGGGGCACTTAGTTGTTCTTTCCTGGTAGCACTTCCCACCCTGTATCTAAAGCCACCACCATTGGGAGGCTGAGGCAAGAGGGTCACAAGCTTGAGCCCAGCTTGAACAATTTAATGAGACCCTGTCCTAAAATAAAACTAAGGGGTTTAGAAGCTAGGAGTGCAAGCAGTAGGCTCCACCCCCTGAGCCCCTCCCTGGGTGACACTTGGCTCCTCAGTTCCTGTGTTGGCAGGCGCCCTGTGCCTGACTGCCCATCAGAAAGCCGGAAACAGGAACCCATGTCCCTTGTGTCCAGGGCCATGCATCCATGCAAGCATATTCCTGTCCCCTTGAGGGGCCACAGCCATTGCAGCATTCCCTGTGGCCTTGGGTCTGCCAGCTTAGGCAAAGGCACCAGCTCCACCCAGCCCGGGAAGGTCACAGCCAAAATATCCAGGCTGAGCTAGCCCTTTCTGGAAATGGCTCCTGTTCCCTAATGCTTCCCCAGCCTCTCACAGAGTCCCTGTACCCTGGGCAGGATGGCAGCAAGGACGGTGGTGGTTGCCTTGACTCCCTGAAAATCTCCCTGAGATCAAGCGATCAAAGACCCAGGCCAGGGACTGGTGAGATGGCTCAGTGGTGTAAAGCACCTACTTAGAACAAGCTTAGCAAAGTACAGGGACCGCAGTTCAATCCCCCAGCATCACATGCCAGCCAGCCCCGCCCCCTGGTGGGCTGAGGTGGCCACACACACACACACACACACACACAAATAAATAAATAAATAAATAAAGAATTTTTTTTTAAAAAAAGACCCAGGCCAGGCACCCAGATGAGGCAGTCTAGCATCAGTCAGGAGTGGCAATGGCTTTGTTGGTTTTTTTTTTAGGACAAGGTCTACAGGGTCTCACTGCATAGATCCCACCTGTTTACAGCTTCCTAAGTGCTGGGATTACAGGCGCATGCCACCACACCCAGTCTCAATGACCCTCTCAGTGCGCCCCAGGGGCAGGGATGGCATGGCAGGCCCAGGAATTGAACTCCCAGACCCTACCTCTGCCTAAGCAGGCGCTTTAATCCGCTGAGCTATTTGGCCAGTCCTAAGGTGATGGCTTTTTTGACCTTGGACCCATTTTACAGATGGCTGAGGCCAGAGGGTTGGGTTTACCGGCCACCAATAAGCCTCATATCCTGAGGGCTCTGTGGCTGCCTGAAGTTCAAAACAGACCTGTTGACTTGAAATGATGGCTTGAAACCTACCTCTCAACCAAACAGAGCTCTGTTGTCTAGTGGCTGTAGGGAAACACAAGCGCAGCTTCTGATTGGGCCAACCTAGTGTAGATGCCCACCTCTGAACCAATCACAGTGGCCCAAAGGCATCAAAGTGGGGGAGCCTGGGTGGGTGGAGCCACAACCAGAAGCCACTCCGGGTCCAGGGAGACGGCTCAGTAGAATAGGTGCTTCCCTGACCAGTGCAAGGGCCTGAGTTCAATCCCCAGTTCCGCCAAAACAAAACAAAACAAAACAAACAAACAAACAAAAAACAACCCAGAAGCCACTCTGGTGCATTTGCCCCTTCAGCCACCTCCTGGGCTCTCCAGAAGAGGAAGGGAGTTTCCAGAATCAGGCCGAGCATGTTCACATTCTCACCAGTTTACTAGGGAACCGCAAGCTCAGGGATGTGGAGCCTTGGACAGCTCTGTGCTGATGACCTTCCGGGCTAGGAGCAAACCAAATGCACCTGATGAGGGTGGATGCAGAATGGCCCCTTGTCTGCCCCAGTTTGGGCCATGGTCTGAGATGTAAGATGTCCTTTCTG